AGCAGTTTGGAACTTAAAAATGTACCGATCACATGTCCCCATATGTCATATCTAACACAGTGACATCCTCAAAGATGTTCCCATCTGTAAGCTTCCGCACTTTTCTGTGGACACCCGAACCTCGAAACAGGCGCGCGCTTTCCTGACTCGAGCCCACGAGAACGGACAATTGTCCTAGGAGTTAAAACAGACGACACACACACAAAGAGACCGGGCTCATCTGCCAAGGAGCAAGTGGCAAATGGCAGCTTTATTAAGCATCAGTCGGATATATATACTGTGGGGCAAAAGGACACCAGCCCCCACCAGGATCAAGGAAAAGGAGAAATCAGGGGGCCACACCCAAGGTCGGAGAGCAGCTGAACAGAGAAAAGAGGAAGCTAGGTGGGCGTGTTCAGGTTCAGGGACGAGCTGACCCGGGAACCTTGGCTGTGGCGAGAACCTTGCTTGCAGGTGGAACTACCACGACGGTTAAGGGAGAGTACTTTCTAAGCTACACCTTTGGGCCACAGGCAAAACTGACAAAACAGGAGAAGGCAGTTCTATGCCACACCCTCAAGCTGATGCAGTGGAACCAGGAAGCAGAACAGCCCTGCAAAGTGCCTCGGGAAAAATGGGGACCTGTGTACCTACACCCATCCCAACCCCAGATCCAAATGTGAGTGTGTAACCTTCCATACCACAGAGGAGTCTACACAGGGGAACCATGGTGGGTTTGCCTGAAGTTCCAAGATGGGCAATTGCTTTGGATTACCTGGTATGTCCAGTCAAATCAGTGTCTATTTAATAACAGGGAGGAAGAAGAAGTGACCAAAGAAGAGAGATACCCACATCTGGCTAACAGCTCCATGTGCCAAGGTGCTGGACAAGGCCACATCCTGGTTCTGCCTCCAGAGGGGACACAGCCCTGCACACACCCACGCTTTAACCCAGGGCAACTGGGCTGGTTTCTGATTCCACAGACTCATAGGACCGTCTTTGCTGTCTGTACCCCTCTATTTGAGGCAGTTTGTTATAATAGTCAGAAGAAACAAATATACCCACTGTTTCTGTTCCTGGGAACCAGCCTGCTCACTAGAACACGCACACGTAAACACACGGGAATACATGTGAACACACATCATGATTCTCATTAGCTAAGAAGACTCACACACGAGTGATCAGGGTGTGATAGACCTATACCGTGAAATGTATCATGGTCATGAAAAGAATGGAATATTAATGCCAGATATGGAGAAGATGCATCTTAAAGATAGCAGGTCGGAGAGACCACAGCGTGGGAGGCCATTTACTTGACACGCTTGGAGTCAGAGAGTCCCAGAGACAGGAACCGGAGTGACTGCGGTTTCCGCAGTGTGGGAAAGGGAGATGAACAGTGACTGCTAAAGGGTGTAGTGTTTAATCATAGGATAGTGAAACCTTTCTGGAATCCTGCTAGCTAACTTGCTTAGGAGGAGCTTCCTTGTGCCAACTTTCCAAGGCTGGAACTACAGGCAGTTGGTATGCCCGCTGGGCATTTGACTCAGTTTCTGGGGATCTGAGTTCTAATCTTTACTCCTTCCCCAGCCAGCACTTGAACCGCTAAACCAATGGTTCTCAACCTATGGATCACAACCCTTTGGGGGTAGCACATTAGATATCCTGCATATGAGACATTTATATGATGATCCCCAACAGTAGAAAATTAGTTACGAAGAAGCAACAAGATAATTTATGGTTGATTATCACCACAACTCAGGAAATTGTTTTAAAGGGTCGCAGCATTAGGAAGGCTGAGGATTGCTGCTCTACGTCCTCTTCCCAGGTCCAAGGCAGCTACAGTTTTGAAGGCAGACAGATCTCATGGAAGAGCTGGCACACATTGAGGGGGCCCCTGCATGTGCCACAGCAGTGTGAGGGTCCTGGAGGCCAGCTTCCCCCTCTGCGGGTGTCTCAGTCACAGGAGCCCATGAATCCCATTTTCAGCGTGTACTATTTTGAGTTGGTTTCTACCAGTGTTATGTAAAAGCACTCAGCCTGTAGCTTTTTCTGGCCCACCATCACAGCCCGGAAACATTTGTGGAACTGAATTGCCCTGTCTGTTCCCAGGGAGAGTGAAAACGGAGGCCGAGAGCTTATTTTTCCAGCTTTTTTCTGGGCACCCTGGGTCACCGGATGCTACACTGTAAGTGTCATGTCGTCCTCTGAGACTCCTCGATAGTTTGGACTTTACAGTTTTCCAATGTGGATGCAAGATGGCTGCTGGATCCAGAAACTCTGAAACCGCAGTGATCTGGATGCTCTGGGGAGAGAGAGACGCTTCTACCATAGGGAGAGACCCTCCACGCTGAGCCTTCCTCCTGCTGCAGGATGGCATTAATTAAACCTGTCTCTGCTTAGGTTTTTCTCAGAATTAGCTTATATAAAATGTTTGTTAGTTAAATTCTTAATATGTAACTGAAGATAATGACTCAGTTTAAGGTTATTTAATTGCTGATCAGAAGATGCTGTGGGGGGGGGTCAGAAAGGTATAGGGAAGAGGGTACCTGGGGTGTGAGATCTGGGGGAGGAGGGAGAGATCAGGGGCCATGGGAGATGAATCAGGACACACGGATGTGCCCCAGTCTCGCAAGCCCTTCCTGGATGCCTGCTGGGGCCTAGACACCACCCTTCTCCACACTGAATAGGCTTGGGCAATCTACACAAGCTCGAAGCCCTCTATCTGGAGTCTTCTCTCCATCCATTGTGACTCTGTCCTGTCAGGACACTCTTGCAACCAGGTTCTCCTAACCCCTAGTGAGGTCACCATGAACTGATTCATGGAGCCTCTTTCTTCTTGACCTTCTTTGTCCATGACTCCAGTCAGCGGCAGCCAGAGCTGGATGCCCTCAGCCCAGTTGCTCCACCTCCACGCCTTCTGACTAACAATCACACTCCTGCCCAGGGCAGTCTGAGGCATCCAATCACAGCTCCCTGTTTGCAGCAGCTGTCAACACAGCCCTCCAAAGACACCTTTCCCCACTGTGGAGGAAGCCACACATCCTCCAAGAGAAAGAGAATGACCGCCTGGCCCACTGGAGATGCTCCAGCAGAGTTCTCAGCCAGCTTACACCCTAGGCCAGCCAGGAATTCCAGGTTCAGCTGTGCTGAGTACCCTCCCGCTGTGGGCACATCCCATAAGCAAATCCAGCTTGTCTGTGTGACACTGGAAGGAGTTGGGCCTCCTGTCTGTCACACACAAAGGGGATCCTCAGTCCCCTAGGTGTGATGGAGTGAGGGGAGAGAGCCTAAAGTGTCCTTTTGTGTCTTAAATACGGGGGACCAGGCAGAAGTAGTAGAGGACATTGTACAGGGCTTCTTGTCTAAAGGCCAGCAGTACAGAGGAAGGACACAAAGCAAAACAGGGGTGCGAAGGGTTAGGTTGGGGTGACAGAGGCTCATAGCTGGGCCTTGTTCTGTTCTCGGCTACCCCCCATCTTTGCAGGGAGGAGGGGATGGTTATTATTAAACATTCTGAGAAATCAGATGGATGCCATAAAAGTCATCTGGGTGACACTTCATTATATTAAAGCCAATAACTGAGGGGCCCGTCTTGTGTTGCCTCCAAACATTCCGCATGCAAGTCCCGTCTTTTATCTGTGCATTCATAGATGCCTTGTGGATAATGGCTGTTATAAAAATGATGAATTGCTTAGGTGGGTTTTTTTTATAAAAGAATTGAAGAGAAGACCGTTTTAGATGTGCGTTCCTTGAGGGACAACACAGCGGTGCACACATTGCCTCTCCCACTTCACCAGGTGCCTTGTTTCTCCTTAAACTGCTTTGTTTTGTTTCCGAAGGAAAATGTTTGCAGGCACCCACATCTCTAGGTTTTCAGAAAATTAATTCCGCAGATGATGTGGAAACGATAGCCTATAAAGTTAATGAGATATTACCGAAGGCTGTATGAACAATTAGCAGTATTAGGTGCAAAGATAAGACGAGGCCCGGTACCACCTCACAGAACTGCACTAATTAAATTGAAAATTACAGCACGGGCACGTGAAGACAAAGGAAGAAAGGGTGCGGTGAGAATTATGGGACTAATATTGCAACAGAAACATTGGTATTAAAAATGAGGGGGAGGGTGGTGTATTGAAGCCTCTGCTCCCCTCCCTTAGGCGTCTCTGAGTTGGCTTCTTTCATGTCTTTTCCCACCGTCCTTAGTCCACACCTCAGCGACAGCAGACTCTAAGTTTGCAAGTCCTGTTTGTCCATCAATCGTAAAGTGGTTGGGCCACTCCTGAAAGGAGTCTTTGCAGACCCCACAGATGGGCCGCCAACTCTCAGAAGCATGAAACTGGCATTTGAAGATAACTACCTGGGGAGAGCCAGCAACATTTCAGACTTCAGTGTCGTGCGTTTGAAGCCACAGCTCCAGAGCCTGTCTCTTGGGGCAGGGATGCAGCTCCGGCTTCTCTCTCTTGGGGGCAGAGATGAAGTTATAGTTGACTTTGGCTTTTACTTCATGAAAGTAGAATTTTCATTTCTTCAGATTTTTTGGCCTTGTCCTCCAGGTCTTAGAGCATACAGAGCCTGGTGGAGATGGAGAGAGAGAAGACACCAGGGGCAGACAGATCTTTCTACTTGGGGGAAGGGCCATGGCTATTTGCTGTAGACCCCTGTGTCCTGCATGATAAAGCAGACCCTGGAAAACCATGTGTTTTCTGATGGCATCTTCTTCCCAGCATGCCAGGTATCCTCCATCCCTAGACACATTCCCTGCTTTCTCAAAGCTTGTTCTCATGCCTCCACGGAGGAAGGCAGGGCACCAGAGGCTTCGTCTGAGCCCCAAGCTTGCTCCGTATTGCTTGCATTCATAAAATGTCATTTAGGCTTCTGTAGCCGACACCCTGTTGTACTCAGGGACAGTCACCAAGACTCAAATCTACAATCGGTTCTCTATGTCTATGACCATGTCTACATATACATTGTCTACATCTGTGTCTACATATATGCCTATGTCTAGTCTATGATGATGTATGATCTGTAACTATGTCTATGTCTATGTCTACGGCTATGGCTATGGTTATGTCTATGGCTATGGCTATGGTTATGTCTATGGCTATGGTTATGTCTATGGCTATGTCTATGACTATGGCTATGGCTATGGTTATGTCTATGGCTATGGCTATGGCTATGGTTATGTCTATGGCTATGGCTATGGTTATGTTTATGGTTATGTCTATGGCTATGTTTATGTCTATGGCTATGGCTATGTCTATGACTATGGCTATGGTTATGTCTATGTCTATGGCTATGGTTATGGTTATGTCTATGGCTATGTCTATGGTTATGTCTATGGCTATGGCTATGGCTATGGTTATGGCTATGGCTATGGTTATGTCTATGGCTATGGCTATGTCTATGACTATGGCTATGGTTATGGCTATGGCTATGGTTATGGCTATGGCTATGTCTATGTCTATGGCTATGGTTATGTCTATGGCTATGACTATGTCCTGTCATGCAGCTCCAGCCCCTGGCTGGATTCCTAAAGAAAATGAGAACTGTTTGGAACAAAGTTTGAGAATTTACTGCTTAGCACTGACAAGCAAAATGGATGGCTAGCCCCACTCGGCAGCCAGAGATCTCAGTCCTTACTAATGGCAAACAAGTGGACGAGCCTTCCATGAAGGACATAAAGAAAGATACTCCCACACACCCTGCAAACACTAAGGGAAGCCAGGAACCCCTCTGTGAAGAGTTCACTCTCCCAGCATGCCCTTCTTCTAGGAAGAACCTATAACTGGATTAGAAAATCTCTCCCTGAGTTGGCCCTATGAGAAGGAAGGGAGTCAGGGGCTGAGTTTTCCAAATGTGCCTCACCCCTTCCCAGGTACACAGCGCACCATGTCAGTGACCATTTTTTTGTTAGTGAGTTTTCTGTCAACTTAGAGCTGAGCTCAGAACACACCCATGCAGTTGAGAGCCAGAAACTCCACTTGTTAAACACATGTTACCACTTGGGGTAAAATGGTCGTTAAAACAACTCATTGGCAGGGGCTAGACTAGAAACGCCTTTGGCAACTTCTCCTGCCTGAGAACAGGACTGCATGGAGAGATGTCTGTGTACACACTGTAATACTTCCAACCACTAAATTACCTTAAACTGACTCATTATGTTAGTGTTACATGTTAATAATTTAACTGGCAAACATTTCATAAGTTAATTCTGAAAAGACCCAAGCACAGACAGGTTTAATTAATTCCATATTTACACTGGCTTTTGCACATTCGGAAAGGCAAGCAGTGTACGGACGTGTTCTGCGCACAGTGAAAAGGTCCTGTCTTTCTAGCGTTGTTCTGAGAGGGAGCTCTGGGGCAGGAGTGACACCGGGGACAGATGGTGGTTTACGTACAGCCCGGCCACGCAGTTTCATGCCACTTTCAGCACTGCGTCTGTGGATTGCTCCAGAGCTCAGGGTCTCCAGGAGCAGACATTTTGCTCTTTAGAAAACTGTCCCAGGAACTTGCCAGGGATGGTCGGTCTCCTGTCCTTCTTCCCTGACTCACGAAAAGAATCACTGGGCCATCCTGCTCCAGTCTCGTGCGGTCCACGGCACCCATCCGCTCCTCGATCTCACGTCTTGTCTTCGTTTGTTTAAAAAAATAGATAGATGTTGGCTGCTAATTAACCCAGTTAACCTTGCAGCTGTGAACAGTTTGGCTTTGGTGGAATCTGGGGTAAAGGTTAATGATCTGTCCAGTATTCCTAGCATGTTCTTTCAGAAGGAATTGCACAAGGAGGTGAGGATGGGGAAGAGGCATCACACACCCCGAGACAGGACTGGGACACTTCGAAGTAACTTTTATTAAGGCAACAGGAAGAGAGCTAAAGGTTAGATAGGATCCTCTGCTAATTCAGACACTACTCAGGGATTAATGAACATCCAAGTAGGGCCAGAATTGTGGAGGAGAGAAGGCAAAGGTGAGCTAGACTCTCTGACATCCACTGTATGGGATGACGCCTTTCACTCGGGGACTAGCTCCTCATGGCTTTTCCCTCAGAGCCTAAGATTGAGCCCAGCTTAAGGGAGCATGTTAGAGACTAGTACGTGGAAGCAGGGAGGTCCTAGGAGAGCCCAGCAATGGTGCTGCCGTCTCTCTGGGCAGCTGAGGGGGTGGTGGACTGCTCACAAATGCACAAATCTCTCCACTCGAAACCCCCGCTGTTCTCAATAACACCAGGTTCTTCTTCAAGACGGCTCCATTTCTTGGCTGTGTTAATTTTTAATAAGCTGCTTGCCTCTGATCTAATCATGCCACTGAGGGCAATTTTTATATTTTATAAGCACAAATAAATCCCTTCCCAATCGGCAAGCCCCTCCGTGGCAGTTTGCAAAGGCCTTTGGGTAGCCGGCTTTCAGCCTTCAGCTCCTAGAGGCGTCCCTGACTTGTAAATACCTCTGGAAGAGTCATTGTTGCTTAAATAATTGAATCTATTTAAAGAAATGAAGCCAATTAACTTTTCAGTTTATGACTAAGAAATAATTTCACTGTGTGTGGTCAGACTCTGTTAAGTATCTAGGGATTCAATTATTGTTTAGGGCTTAGAAAAACTCAAACAGGATCCTAAACTATGTCAGGCGGCCTCTTCGGTGGCATTTGGCGTGAGGACCTTGGAGTCCAGACTTGAAGGTAAGGCGCCAAGCAATTGAGATTCTATGCATCTAGCTGCCAAAACCACTTAGCTTTTTCTACCGAACTCCTGAGGTAAATCTTGCCAGCGAGGGTTTGAGGCTCCGAGCTCTCATTCCTGTGTCCTCTCCACTACCAATCCCTTCTCCACCTGGGTCTCCCTCTGGTTGTAGGTGGTTCTCATGGTCTCACCTCACATCACAGTGTAAGCAACTGGTAAGAGGTGAAAAGGAAGCAGATCTTTCCTGTGGGGAATTGCAGTTTTAATAGGGAACGCTATCCTGGAATATGCCAGAGAGCAGTCACTGCACGCCAGGGGAACGGTAGATCTATCATGAGCAGTGAAGAGTTCTGGGGATCCCCGAGGATACTGTGGGGTGCCAGGTGTGTTCCGTGTGTGGTGGGCACCCACACTGGCCGAGGACCAGGAGGGCAGCAATTGAGACTCTCTTCAGAAGCTACTGTTCACTCAGCACTGAGATCCATCATTGAGGCTGCACAGGGCAGCAGAGCTGTGCCCAAAAGTGAGCGGGTGTCAGCATTTGCTTTCTATAGCTGTGATAAACACATGGCCAAAAGCATCTTGGAGAAGAAAGGATGTCTGAATCACACATCCTGGGTCACAGTCCAGGATAAAAGTCAAGGCAGGAGCTCAAAGCTGGAGCCCTGAGGCAGGAACTGCGGAAGCAAGTGCACCAGCTGTCCTCCGTGGCTCGCTCAGCTGGCAGCCTGTTTTCTTATACACCCACGACTACCTTCCTAGGCACCATTCACCACGGAATTGCCCTTCCTGCACCAGTCATTAATCAAGAAAATATCCCGGAGATTTGTCCACGAGAAAGTTGATGAATCTCAATCAGTTGAGATTCTGTTCTCAGATGACCCCAGCTGTCCCGAATTGACAAGCCGCACAGTTACTGAGAGAGGAAGGCTGAGAGCTTAGGGATTTTCCTTCCTGGAGGCAGAGCTCAGCTTCCAGCATCAAAATCCCACTGCCGATGTTATAATAATGTAGATGTCATAGCAAGGGAAGCTTTTCCCACTAGTGAGAAGAAACGCCTTGACATGGTACAAACCCTCGCCTCCCGATGGTTTCCTGGCCCCTCCCCATCCCCAAGCACTTAGGTCATGCTCCCCTGCATGGGAGGAGAGACTGGCCTGGGAGACAGATGTTAACCCAGCACACACCTGCTTTCCTCAGCGGCTTCTTGGTGGTCTTCCAGGAGTGCACTGCTCTGCAAGGCTTCCAGTGCCCTGGTCATTTTAAAGATTTGCTTGTGTGTGTTCAGTTGTGTGTGTGCATGTGTGTGCAGGTGTGTGTGTGTGTGCAGGTATGTGTGTGCATGTCATGTGTAGGCAGGTGTGTGTGCGCATCCCACGTGTGTTTAGGTGTATGTGCAATGTCATATGTGTGCAGGTGTGTGTGTGTGTGCATGTGTGTATACCGTCTGTGTGCAGGTGTAGTCTATGTGTGTGTGTGTGTGTGTGTGTGTGTGTGTGTGTGTGTGTGCCTTCCATGTATGTACAGGTGCCCAGAGAGGCAAGAATTTGGCGTCATACCCCTTGGTCTTGAGTTGTAAGAGGTTATGAAGCAGCAGCCGTGGGCCCTGGGAACTGAACTCTGGTCCTCTGGAGGAATAGCAAGTGCTCTTAACCAATGAGCCATCTCTCCAGCACCAACGGTCAGAAACCCCCACTCTCTCCCTGGGCAGGCAAGCTTCATCGCCTCTGAGATCCATCACTTCCTAAGAGAATCAACTCTCTGTCTGTGGCAACTGTGCCTGTGTCTCTCAACCAGTGGCTCTCTCAGCCTTGGGACGTATCTCAGAGATGTCTGAGCAGACATCTCCCTTTGCTTTTCAGATGAATCCCCATATCTCACTCCGCCTCTTCATGGGCACATGGCCACCAGAACCAGAGACCAGCAGATCAATCCCTATCAATCAATCCCTTTAGTCCTGGTTTCTGTTCTCTATATTCCCCGCTGGAGTTGCTTTGGGGGTTTTGTGCCTCCTCCATCTTTGCTTGTCTGCCCCAGACTAGTCTCTCCACAGCCTCCATGTATAGAAGCCACATTCCCCAAGGTTCCTGTCATCTTCCTTCCCTCTAACCCCATCAGCTCTGTTCCTGTCGTGGTACATATCCTTGGCCGCCATAGATCAGAACTGTAGGTGCTCTTGTTTCATCCCAAACACCATTTTCATGAGAATAACCCTGTCCCCAGGCCTCCCTTCACATCCCTGTGTGAGCGCTCCTTGAGCTGTCTGTTACGTGGACCATAGGCAAGTCCTGAATCAGAGAGAGAACTGAGGTAGGGGCCCAACCTGCTGCTTTCCTGTTCTGAAGAGAGACTAGCAAGGAAACCACATTTCAGAGACAGTGTTAAAAGCCTGCATTGCTTCTTGCCACAGAGAACAACCCTAACCTAAACAACAGAATGGGAGGACTCCCAGGTCCTAGGTAAGAAGCCGAATGTGGTGTTTCAGGCTTATAGTCCAAGCTGTGGGGGAGGAGGCAAAGAAAGGGTCGCTGGGGCTATAATCAGTCTAGCTCCAAGCCAGGAAAAGTCCCATCTCCAAAAGAAACCATGTGCATGGCACCTGAGGAATGAGGCCTGAGGTTGACTTCTGGTCTCTGCATGAATGCCTGCACATATACCCATCCATGTACATGTACCTTCACACTCATGAACACACATCATAGCTGACCATGAAGGATACTTCCCCTCCATGGGTGCTGTGCCCCACAATGCCGTCAGCTTTTCAGAAACTGATAGAGCACAGTAGCTTGTCCTGTGGGGTTTATATTTTCACTGGTTGAAGCACGAGGGAGGGACTATGGCAAGCCCTTGTGAGAA